AATATAAAAGTTTAGGGATGATATGAATATTATAGGGGCTCTGGTAGCATAGTGTCTAAGGCACTTGACTGCTAACCAGAAGGCTGGTGGTTCAAACCCACCAGCCACTCCTTGGGAGAAGGTTGGGCAATCTACTTCTGTGGTGATACCACCTCAGAACCCAAGGAGGGGATGCTATGAGTCGGGGCTGACTCGACAGCACGTAACAGCAACATGAATATTATACTATAAAATCAGAAAATGCTTCACCAGCTCCTCACAAAATAGTTAACATTAGAGACATTATAAAGACTGAATCATGTCTTCAGAAAAAGAAAAGACAAGTCCTACAATGCAAAGTCCAGAATGAACTTAGGAAACATTTTCTAAAGGCTGACTAAAGAAAAGAAGATTTAAAACTTTTGGTTAAATCCATGGATGGTTTTTCCATAATGGGCTATCAAAATACCATCAAGAAATCACTGTTGTTGTTGTTGTTATGTGCCATCGAGTCGGACCTGACTCATAGCGACCCCTCCTTGGGTTTCTGAGGAAGTATCACTACGGAAGTAGATTGCCCAATCTTCCTTCCGAGGAGTGGCTGGTGGGTTTGAACCGCCAGCTTTCTGGTTAGCAGTCAAGTGCCTTAGGCACTATGCTACCAGAGCTCCCAAGAAATCACTATGCAGCTTAATTTGGGTTATATAAACCAAAGATGATAATCCCAGTGACACTACCAGAGAAAGAAAACTAAGGAGTGCGAATCATAAATCTGCTGAGTGTGGAATTTTTTGTGCCCTCTTAAGTATACATATAAATTTGTATTTGATTTTCACCTGAAGTATTTGTTACATAAAATCCTTTTTTGTTAACTTTCATTAAAATCATTTTTGGCTGCTGAATCCATTTTCTACATATTGCTGTTGTTATTATGTGCCGTCAAGTCAAACCCGACTTATAGAGACCCCTCCTTAGGTGTCTGAGGCCGTATCACTACAGAAGTAGATTGACCCATCTTCTTTCCGAGGAGTGGCTGGTGGGTTTGAACCGCCAGCCTTCTGGTTAGCAGTCAAGTGCCTTAGGCTATGCTACCAGAGCTCCTATTTTCTACATAAATG